AGAGCATTGTTAAAAGCACTGAATGTAGGGATTTATAAGCAAAATTCATCTTCAAACTTTAGGAATCTGTACCAAGTCCACTTACACTTGTACACATGTGATACGTGATTAAAAAAACCATATGCCTAAGGCAGTATTCTTATAGTCTATATGCCTGACCAACATACGTGTTACAAAGGACGAATTACAAGGAAAGTAAACAGTTAAAGGAACAGCTACATTTCAGATACCAGAGCCACAGAAAATAGTTCCAGATCCTCAGATTTATGGAATAGCAAACATAAGATTACAGACTTCACTCTCCACTGACCAGTGGAGCTACCAGTGTGGTACCCTAAACTTTCTACCACCAAAAACTCCTATTAATTAATCTAAAAGCACCTAACATTTAGAGATTTCTATCACATAGACAGCTTTAATACCTAACATGTTCAGCTTTGTTTCCCCCTTTCTTAAAAATTATAGATGACTCAGAACTTCAAATCTATACAAGATAACCAGTTTTCCCACAGAAAACAAATATAAAAACAAATAAACCCCACAAAGCTTCAAGATCTAGACATTCTAGTTAATCTGACCTCACAATGAATAAATAGGCAGGTTATCAAAGGTTTTCTGCATTGTAGAAAATAAAAGAAAGACTAGTACAGTGGCTATGAGTGTGAGTGTATGCTCTAAATCAAGAATGTCTGGGTTGAATCCTGGATCCATCACTTATTAGCTCTCTAACCTTGGGCAAGCTACTCAACCTCTCAGCGCCTCTGTTTTCCCATCTGTAAAATGGGAATCATAATACCTACTTCAAAATATTGTGAAGACCGAATAAATTAATGTATGTAAAATGCTTGGAGCTACCTGGCACATAATAAGCACCTGATAAAAGTGAGCTAGAAAACCACCATCTTTATGGTTCACCCAAGGATTTGAGAAACCACTGCCATACATCAAAACTAGTAATTGCACTTTGCAAATTCTCTGCAACAAATTAATCCTGTATGAAGAAAAAAATTTTTCCCCAGTCCATGTTTATATGACAGTTTCTCTTGTGGACAAAATACTGGATTGTACTGAGATTTGTTTCAAATGGGAGGGGGAGGAAGTAAAGGGGATAGGAGAAAAAAGATCGGCCCTTAAAAGAATAACTATAAAAAAAAAGAATAACTACAGAAGTGGGGTGATCAGAAGGGGGGAGGTGTCATTACTTTTCTGATTTTGTTCATATTTAAAGTTCATATCAAAAACAGCTAAAAGGAAATCTTAACAGATTTTTCTGTTTTACAAATGATTCTACTTTCCTATATCCCCCTTTTCTTCAAAAAGTCACTTAAATTCTCATACACCTTCCAAAACAGACCAACCCATTCAATGGTTGGAAGCAAAACATCGTGGAGATATCATGAACACAACATATTCCAGTTTTTCCTACTACTTCTTCAGAGAACTTGCTAATTCACTACAGAAAGGCTGGCTCAAATCATCTACCCCTGACTAGGTATATAGTTTTCAGCACCATTCCCAAAACAGAGTAATTATTTCGAATAGTCAGGACCTTAAGATTAACTATATCATCACTGTCATCATCATAAATAATCTGAAAATATTTCAATATGCTAGGACCTATACTAAAATACATGCATTATCTTCTTAAATCTAGACAACAAGCCTATGAGAGATAACTCTCTCTACTCACAAATCAGAAATTGGGGTTCACAACTTAAGTACTATGCATAGAATCACCCAGGTTATTAACTGATGGAATTACTATTTGAACCTATGTCTACTCTAAAGTCTGTGTTTTTCTACTTTTCCATATTGATTTCCATTAAAAATGGGAGGGATGAATGAAATATAGAAATGACAATAGTCATATTGCACATCAAGCCTATGTAAGAGCCACATTTTGAAACTGCAAACAACCATATCTATTATTTCTTTTACTAAATTATAAATGTGGCCTTCTGATAAACAGAAATTAAAACCATTCAAGTTCTTGATTAACTATTTCACAAAATTATATTGGCAAATATCTACTGATTACTTATTGTGTGCCAAACACTGTTCTAGTTGCTTGGGATACAGCAGCAAAGAAGACATAGCCCTGGTGAAACAACATAGACAACAAACATATAATAAATAACTGAATTTCATAAAACGAAAAATACAGTGATATGATAGAATTCAACTGAAAGCACTTAAAATAAGATCATTATGGAAGACCTTTCTGAGGAAGTAATATCTGAGCTTGGATCTAAAATGGTAAGACAGCAATGGAAGAGCCTGAGAAGTAGTAAGCAGGGCAGATAGTTTAAGAACGTGTAGACCTTTTTACCTATAGTAAAAGAAGTTTAACTCTTAAGCCTGTTGCAATGGAATGTCACTAGAGGATTTTTTAAAGCAGAGAAATGACATCGGTTCATGCTACAGAAAGATCACTTTTGGAAAATGATAGCAGTGAAAGGGTCAAACAAATTAAAACAAGCCTGAATAAAATTGGTAAAACCTACCATGGAGTCTGTCTTCAGGAAGACTACTTGCCTTCTCTAATAAATTATTTTCTTTATTTCTATTTATTTATTTTTTGGCTATACCATGTGGCTTTCAGGATCTCAGTTCCCCAACTGAGGACTGAACCTGGGTCATGGCAGTGAAAGCCCAGAATCCTAACCACGAGGCAACCAAGAACTCCCAAAATTATTTCCTTTAAAGTGAACTAAAGTCTCTTAATATACATTATGAAATAAAGGGTAAAATGAAAATATCTCAGGATGAGTTATACAGTTACTTAAATTCACACTGAGGTCTAAATATAAATTACTAAAGAACAGATGCCAAAAGAAACAAAGAGAAGCAAAAGTGGCATCAGGAAAATGGACAGAAAGGCTGTGAATGCCAAAGACATCTATTGTACAAATTTGCCTAAAGTTGATTTAGAAGCCAAACTCCAAAATAATTCTAACACTACTCTCCTGAATATTTCTCTCAAAAGGTTTTATTTACAGTAAGACAGATGACATTCACTAATGTAAACACAAAACAACTACAAATTACCCTTAGCCATTTTAGAAAGTTAAGCCCATTCCACCAGGGGAAAAAAATCAGGTTTATAGAAAGCCAAAAGCATTTTGTGACACAAACTTTATATAATGCACTTCAAAAGAAGTATTGTCTTCCTAGAGCAACCATTCTTTTTCACTCTTAAAATACCAGCAAGGGAAATAAGCTCAGGCACAATGTAAAAAGCAGAGGCAGAAAAATTCTGGCTCCAGTGTATCTCATCAACAGTGACTAGAAAAAATATACTGTAATTGTCATATGTAATCCCACAGACAGGGATAGGAACCAACTTATCTCTGCAAATGAAGTAACCATACAGTTAAAGCACCAGAGCCCAAAGGTAGGAAAATGTTTCAAAACAGGGAAGAAAAATATGTTTAAGAACAATATGTCCTCAAGCTTGAGCACTGCTTGCTACCACTGGCAGACCAAATACATTAAAGAAAAATCATGAAAACATTATTTTACAAAATTAAATGTGACCACTGCCATCTGATATGGTGGAGTCAAATCCCAACTCCACCATAAGCTTAGCAGCTTCCTTAATATTTCTGAGTCTTAGTTTCCCCATCGGTAAATCAATGATTAAAAAATCTACTTAGGGTTAGTTTAAGGTAGAATGAGCTACTAGATAGACTGTAAATGACAAAAGGCCTGGGCACATAGTAGATACTTATTATTCGAGTATTTGAAAGTGAGGAGTACCGTACTTGATATTGTATTTTCTAATTTTACCTCTTGGAAAGAAGGCAACTTTGATCTGCTATTGGTAAATACAGATAATCTCGCAAAACGTCTCTCCCAACAATAACTATAGACAAATGGTTTGAAGTTTTCAGGTCTATGATTTTGCAAGTTTTATCCATCCGTTCCCTAAAAAAGTAAACACAGATCAAAACACTACGGAGAGAGTAGCAAAAGTGGAATAATAATAATAATAACTGGATGATGGGTTTCACTGGTGACAAGAAGCAACAACAAACATAAAATTCAGAGATACACAGGGATTTTAGGGTCAACCGTCTCTTCTATGTAGGAAGCAACAATGACTTCCCCACACTTCCTTCGTCCTAAAGATTTGAAATCTGCAAACAATCCACGCTTCCTGACAATTTAATAGACTTCTTTTCCGCAGTAAAGCAGCAAAGTGAAATAAAATCAGCGAAGTAGACAAAAAAGCAATTAACTCGGGGTGAGGGGGGGAGTAGTATATATTCAAAAAGCACACTTCTGATTCCTTGTTTTGGTTACCTATGAAACCAATTCCTATTCTTTAAAAACGTATCTGAACTGACTGAAAAGTAGACGGATATGTTTTCCATTTTAAGGTTATTAGTGGCAATACGGACTACGGTTGTTTTTGGTCAGTATCAAGAAGCCTGTATTTTACTGCAGCAAACACAGGTTGAGGAAAACCTCTCAGGTGGTCGGTCGCCTGAGCTCTATGTGGCGCTCACGTTACCTCTTCATCTAGGTAAGGTTCTTCTCACTACACATCACAAGTTTTAGGTCAGAGGAAAATAGAATTGTCCAACACATTCCCGCGAAGTAGGTGCATTTACTACTGCTTAAACCATAACAGTACAAGAAATCATTAACACATTAAGGCCTATTAGAAATAAACGGACGCGACAATTTCTGTGAACGTTCAGTACATACAACACCTCACAAGGCTCTGAAATAACATATAAATCTCCACAGAATTGGGCCCAACGGCCCAAGGTCACACCAAACCAGTGGCTATAAACTCCAAGAAATGATCAATCTCCTACAGTTCAGACAATCCTGGCTAGAAATAAGTCTGGGTTTGGCAACACTTGGGTTGAAGCTCTAATGTGAACAACCCCAACCGAATGCAGCGGCTCCACAGGGAAACCCTAAACGTTTCGAGCAGTATTTCCTTCCATTCCCCAGTCTTCCCTTCCCTGGGCACCCCCAACACTCACATCTCCGGAGCCACTTCATCCAATGGTAGACGATAGTAGTGTGGTGTTTCTTGTTCTCTATACACCAAGACGACAAGCCTTGAATAGATTCCATGGTGTTAGTTACCGACTGGAATTTTCGATCCAACGAGGACTCCAGAGCCCCTGCCGAAGAGGCCGACGAGGAGGAGGCCTTACTGCCGCCTCCGCCGCCGCCGGCCGCCATCTTCCCGGTTTGCACAAGCGCTGCTGCTCCTCTGGCGGCCGCGGCGGCGACAGCGACGGCGGCGGGAGCGGGCAAAACAATCACTGCGAGTGCGTGAAAGCCGCAGGTGGGGAGGGAGGCCAGGGGGTGGGGATGGTGCACGCGCTAGGCTCTTCTGGAGGTAGGACGGGAGGACCAGGTGCTGGGCACGCTGGCGGCTCCTACACGCTGCAAGTAGGGGCTGCGGGTTTCGAATGTTTATCAGAATTGTTCAAGGGATGTGTTTAAACCAGTCAGCAATCACGAAGAATTACGCAGAAAACAGCTCTTGCAAAGCCTTTCTAAACGTCCGGCCCGGAAATTAAATGGTTTTATACTCTTCGGCTCTCAACGCTTAAGGCCCTTCCCCAACACTCCTCTAAGAGTGGGCGTTAATATCTTAAAGTAAATACTACCCGACTGCCCCTTCAGTTGCAGAAATCTCTCCTTTAGGTCCTCTAGCACAGAAAAGCCCAAGGCTACCTAGTCAGGAATTTTTTTGCAACGCAATAGCAGCAGCGGGACAGCAACAGTATCGCGCACGCGCTGCTTGGACCCGCCCCCCTGCTTCCTTCTCAACCTAGAAAGCAGAGGGAGGCGTGATGGCGGGGCAACCTGGCCAATCAAGGGAGAGGACGAAGAAGCGCGCGCAGAAGCCCACAAGCCCCAAGGGCTAAGGAGGCGCTTCGATGCTTTGTGCGCCTGCGCGACAGGCCAGCGTGTAGCGGCTTGGGAGGAAAAACCGGGAGGGAAGGGCGAGGGAGTTGGTGACTAAAGAGAGGTTGGGGGGAGGGGCTTCACCGCTCCACCCCGCGTTTTACTTCCTAGTGAGGTGTCTCTTGGAGCTGTCCAGCTCACACCACAGGACCGAGAAACTCCCACCGTTCAGCGGCCACTTATTTTCTGGCACTTGCAGCTGCCGCTGCCGGCGCCGCTGCTAACTCCTCGGGGCACCGAGGCGCGACAAAGTAGATGGCAGCCATCTTGCAGTGCCTCAGAGGGCGCGCATGCGCCAGCTCCGGCAAGCCATTCACTACGCAGACTCCCAGACCAAACAATTTTTTACACTTCCCTTGGACGATACCATTCACAGCCCCTTGACTTTGGATTATAGGAAGAGGAAGTAAATGACGTGAAACGAAAATTTTCTCTGTAGAAATTTCGAGACAAGGAAACAATAAAAAGCAAGATGTGATTCACCATCGCCAATTATGATGCAGTCTTGCAATTGCATAATACTTTATAGTTTAAAAAACCCTTAGAAATCTATTAAATTGATTAGCACAACCTAAATTAACCAGGCCATAGCATCTGCCTATGTGAAACTTCTGGATAGATTTGGAGGCTTCTGTGTGCCACTAAGCACATACAATGATTGTATTTTAATTCTTTCACGTCTCCACAGTAGACTCACATTTACCTGTTTTGTCAAGCTCACATTTCATATATGTTAATCCAACAAAAAGTTGTCTTGTGTCAAGTACAGTTCTAGATGTGGGGCGGTAACAGAGCAAAACAGACAAAAATCCCTTTCCTCTGGGGTTTATTGGCAGGAGACCATAAAAATACCAAGGAGTAATAAGGTCTCCTGCAATGCGAGAGACCGGGGTTCGATTCCTGGGTCGATTCCCGGGTCAGGAAGATCCCTGGAGAAGGAAATGGCAACGCACTCCAGTATTCTTGCCTGGAGAATCCCATGGACAGAGGAGCCTGGTGGGCTACAGTCCATGGGGTCGCAAGAGTCGGACATGAGTTAGCGACTAAACCACCTCCAATAAGTTCTATCCACGCAGGGTAAGAAAGAGAGGGTACTGTGTGTGTGTGACCCTTAAGGGAACGGTGGTTTGGTGATCAAGGACGGCTTTAGGAAGGAAGTGATAATTAGATCTGAATGCTGAGCACAAGGTAACCAAGCAAATATGGGGAAGGGAAGAGTAAAAAGCACGCTGGCAGAAGAAACAGCTAATGCAAAGGACCTAAAACACGAATGTCTTGAAATATTAGAGGAGGAACAAGGAGGCCAGTTTGACTAAAGAGGGGACAAATAGTAAAATATGAGATCTGAGAGGTGAAGAGAGAGAATTCATGTAGGGCCTGGAAGTCCACTCTCAAACTTTGGCTTTCTCAAACTTTTTTTTTGGGATTTGAAACACTTATAAGCAGAGCAGCTTTAAACAAAGTTACATAGCATCCTTCTTAAAAGATTATATTGGTTGCTATGTTGAAAATAGACTTCAGAGTAACCAGTTAAGGAGAGTATTGCAGTAATCCAGACAAGGAGATGATGGTGGCTTCTACTAGGGTGGCAATAAAAAAAAAGAGAGAAGTGGTGTCAGATCCTAGATATAGTTTGAAGGTAGAGTCCAACGGATTGCTCATAAATTTAAGGGGAATATGAAAAGAAAAAGAAAAAAAAAAGAGGCAAATATGGCACCAAGGTTTTAGACCTGAGCAACTAGAACGGTGTTTCTCAGCTTTTTTTCCATTACTGTTGACCCTGAAGATTCTTCTTAGATATTTGTTCCTATTCCCCCTAGCCTGCATGAAATGTTAATGCCACAGATACACTGTATATCTGTTTATGTACTGTCTATATACCTGTTCTTTATACAAGAATAAGAATGAACTTTGTATTCAATGCAGAATTAAGGATGACTAAAATCTTTAAGTTAAAAATTAAAATTTTTTGGACTTCTCCAGTGGTCCAGTGGTTAATAATCTGTCTGCCAATGCAGGGACATGGATTCAATCCCTAATCAGGGAGAATTCCACATGCCAAGGGGCAACAAAACCCGTGTACCACAACTACCAAGCCGGAACTCTACAGCCAGTGCTGTGCAACAAGAGAAGCCACTACACTGAGAAGCCCTTGGACCACAACTAGAAAGTAGCCCCACAGACACACACAACTAGAGAAAGCCTGAGTACAGCAACAAAGACCCAGAGCAGCCAAAAAAGCTAAATTTTTTCAATTAAAAAAAATTTAGCGTCGCTGTCTTGTTAGACAGCCACGTTTCTGATCTCTCTGCGGAGTCTTTTTGGCAAGGTGTTGGGGGCACTGCATCGACGTCTGGAGCCTGAGCTCGGCCCGCAGCTGAGGCGTTTGTTTCCTGGGGCGATACAGATAGGGGCGAGGGACCCAAGGGAATGTGGAGATGGAAGCCTCACTTTGCTTGCGGCGGGGGTCGTGGTTCACTATTATCTGCCGCCTTCGGGAAGGATTTAAAGCGACCTAGGCAGAGATAGAAGCCTTAGCTTTATGGCCACCAATTATTAAAAGTTTCCTGCCGTTGCTTATAACTTGGGACGATTCTTTTTCCTTCCGCCCTGTAGCTTAATTGTCTTCTAGATTAGGTTCCGTTCAGTCATAACTCTAGGCACTTGCTCCATTAAATGAAAATGGTTCGTGTCCTCGAACATCGTAGGATGTGTTACATTGGCCATATAAATACGGTGCTAAGACGGAAGGATGCTGATGAATTCTAACCTAAGAGAAGGTGCTTTCCATTAATCGCATACCAAAATTAATGTAATTAACGTGACGATTTGCAAAGTGCTTTTACATCGTATGCAATTGCTTTGAGTTCCTGCTGCAGGTTTACTGAATTTGGATAATATTGATGGCTCAAGTTCATCTCCTTCTTCAAAACCTTCCCCCAGTCCCTGGGGGAAAGCTGTAAATAGAAATAGCTAGAAATAGAAGGTATTATTATTTGCCCTAGAGGATCTTATGGTACAAAGGTAGTTAATTGGTTAACATAATGAGGACGCTCGAAAACAAGGTTTTCTTTTAGTTGTTTCAACAGGAAAAGTAAAATCTTGCAAGTTAACTTTATAGTTCCAAAAACTGTTTTAGGGAATTCCCTGGTGGTCCACTGGTTAGCACTCCGTGCTTCCACTGCACTGGGCACGGTTTCCGTCCCAGGTTGGGGGAAGATCTCCCATGCCATGGGCCAAGAAAAAAAAAGTTTCACACTCTGCTAGGATACCTGTAGGAGAAAGTCACACACACACAAAAAAAAATTTAATCCTAGTAATATATAACGATTTTATAACTATTTAATAAGTAAACTTTAATTTATTTCTGTAAGTTGTAATTCATTACACTACATATGTAAATTATCAATTTATATAAATACATAATAGCAATGTAATCAGTTTTTAAAAAATCATTCAAAACTTATTTTCCAGCAAAAGTGAAATAATTGAAAAATTAATTTCTTAAAAAATTTTAGTGAACTTGTATTCGACATGAGAAAATTGCTAGCTGCTAGAGATTCATTCAAATATTGACATTTTTTCTTCTCGGCATTGACATAGTGATGAGTTAAATAGCTTTTGTAGAATTAAATAATATAAACAATTTTTATTTGCTTCTCAAAGTCCAAATCATGCACAGAAGCACAGAGAATCAAACATAACAGTCGTGATAGCAGTAACTGTGCGTAGGCACTTCCTTCACTATTTCTTACGAAGCCCCCTACTTCACAGTCAGTAAGGCCACTGACTTCAAAATAGGTCATTTGAGACAGATAAAGTTCTCCAATCACAGCCATCTGTTCCTCATAGTTTTGTAGCACTGATTTTGCATACATTTTTTATATCTTCCATGAACTCAGTGTCATTGCTTCTTGTGTCATAGCCAAGAAAATGAGAGAAATTAAATACAGCATAAGATTTTGTTGGGTAGAGTTCAGTTTTAGAAAGTCACAAAGCACTGCAATGTCTATAACTTTTTCATTCCCTCAAGTTCAGTCTTTTTTTTCCTATAAATAGGAAACATCAATTTAAGAATTGCCAGTATATAGATGATCTTAAAGCCTTGACATGGATGAGGCCACCCAGGAAGTGAGTGAGCATGCTGCTGCTTCTAAGTCACTTCAGTCGTGTCCAACTCTGTGCGATCCCATAGACGGCAGCCCACCAGGCTCCCCTGTCCCTGGTATTCTCCAGGCAAGAACACTGGAGTGGGTTGCCAGTTCCTCCTCCAGTGCATGAAAGTGAGAAGTGAAAGTGAAGTTGCTCAGTCATGTCCGACTCTTAGCAACCCCATGGACTGCAGCCCACCAGCCTCCTCCATCCATGGGATCTTCCAGGCAAGAGTACTGGAACGGGGTGCCATTGCCTTCTCCGGTGAGTGAGCATAGATATTAATAAAAGTCCAAGGACTGGGCTATCAGAAGCAAGTTTCAAAGGAGACAGAAAAGCAATGATCAGTGAAGGAGAACCCAGAAAGTAATATTCTGAAAGCCATGTCATGAAAGTCTGTTAAGGAGGAAGTAACTGTGTCAGGTGTTGCTGCATAGGTTGCATGAGAACTGAGATAATCACTGAATCCGGGAAACACACTAGTAATTGGTAGGCTTGACAAAGGCTGTTTCCAGGAAGTGACTGGAGAGGGCTCTGGAGAGAATGGGAGAAGTGGCATTATCATATATAGACAACTCTTGCATGAAATAAAGGGGGAGCAGAGTAATGGAACTGAAGCTGGAGGGAAATGTGGGCTCACAGGTCATTTTTTTTCTAAGATGGAAGATAATGTACCTATTTTCAGATGCTATGGCTGATACACGATAGAGATGGGACAATTGCCGAATTGATTTCCTTGATTAAGTGGGAGAGGATAGATCAAATGTTAAATCCATAGACAGTTCCTTTCTTGTAACAGGAAGGTAGAGAATCTAGGTAGAAATTCCGGTAAGTTGATAGATTTGTTGAGCATGTGCAGAAATTCTCTTCAGTTGCTTTCTTTTCTCAGTGAAACATGTGCTGAGGAAGCACACTTTTAAGTCAAGATATGTTAACTGCCAATTCCAGTGCACCGTTTACAGTCTCAACCCTTAACTTTTCTGTTAAGTGCTGTAATGGTTTAGAGTAAGACACATAGAACCAGACCGCTCAAATTCAGACTCTGCCACTTGTCAGTGGCAATTGACTTGCCAGTGGCCAGAGGTAAATTTGTCTGTGGTGCTATAATTATTAAACGAGTTAATGCATGTAATGTTCAAAGCAGTGCTGCCTGGCTTAGAAAGATTTGATGATGTTAGCTATTATTATATTTAAATCTTTCTTAAATTCATTTCCCTTTACTTCTATTATACAGTCTTTAATTAGATCCCACTAAATAAATGGCTTTTTCTGCCCATTGCTAGTTTTTATACACTTGGTTTGCCAAAGTTCCATCTTTAGCCCTTCTCTCATCTTCCTGCTCATTCTCTCTCAAAGGTTAAATTTATCACCTGCATTCGCTTACAAAGTTATCCTGGTTCTTTAATTTTACCTGTTGCAAGAGCTTCCCTCATAGCTCAGTTGGTAAAGAATCTGCCTGCAATGCAGGAGACCCCGGTTTGATTCTTGGGTCGGGAAGATCCCCTGGAGAAGGGATTGGCTACCCACCTCAGTGTTCTTGGGCTTCCCTTGTGGGTCCGCTGGTAAAGAATCCGTCTGCAATATGGGAGACCTGGGTTGGGACGATCCCCCAGAGAAGGGAAAGGCTACCCACTGCAGTATTCTGGCCTGGAGAATTCCATGGACTGTATAGTCCATGGGGTCGCAAAGAGTCAGACAAGACTGAGCGACTTTCACTTTCACCTAGTTATCAAATCCTATAGACTTCTACTTAAAAATTTCTTCCATAAATTCCCTTCTTTCCATCCCCTTACCTAAGGGTTATCACCATTCTAATCAACTGTCAACAGCATCATGATCAGCTTATATACATTACCAGTATATAATATCCTAGTTTTCATCTACTCAAAAAATCACAAAAAAAAAAAAAAAAAATCACAGCCAAAAAACTTGTTTCTAGATTGTAGGTAACAATCTACCAAGTTAAGTAAATGCTCTAGCTTTGAAGACCATCCACAATGGTTCCAATCCATCTCCCCAGTATTATCTCAAATACCTTTCCTCCGTGGTTCTTTGGGCTCCAGTTTTTTCTTAAATATATCTATGATTTTCTATTTATGAATTCTGCCTAAAGTGGTCTCTTCTATTACCAAAATTCCATCTATCTTTCAAGAGCTATCTTGAATTGTCTCTTTTATGTAAACTTCCCTGATCATTCCAACTGAATTTCTCTTTTGAACAGTAGCATTTTCTGCCCTGAATAAATTTATATTTACTTACCTACAGTAATATTGCATTGAGTAACATGCAAAAGCACCCTAATTGCTAAATAGTGTTGTTGTTCAGTCGCCAAGTCGTGTCAGACTCTTCATGACCCCCATGGACTGATGCACATCAAGCTTCCCTGTCCCTCACTATTTCCTGGAGTTTGCCCAAGTTCATACCCATTGAATAGGTGATACAATCCAACCATCTCATCCTCTGTCACCATTTCTCCGTCTTCAGTCTTTCCCATCATCAGGGTCTTTTCCAACAAGTCAGTGTTAGTTATGACAAAATTCTTACCCAAAAATAATCACTGGTATATGCCAATGATACTGCCATTGTTCAAGATACTTCTGGAAATTCATCAAGGTAAGCCACATACAGGAAGGAAAAATCAGTCCAATTACTTTATATTTGCATTTTTAAACAAAGAAAGTTATTATCTATCTTAACCATATCACTTAATTCTAAATAACAAATTCCTAATGACTTTTAAAATTCTTAAAGTCTACAGAGGACAAATAACTACCAGTAACTAAAGATATATATTCAAACAGATTATGAAAGAAATTACTAAAGTCCACAAGGTGTCTTAAGTGGTGCCAGCATCCCAAGATAGGAACTATTCTGAGATTAGCATTCATTTGAAAAGAACACATCTGTCCTTAACACCTATTTCACAAATGACATAGCATATGTAGGGACTAAGTTTGGGTTCTAGTGAAATCTGGGTTCAGATTAAACTCCATCACTTACTAGCCATAACCTGGAGCAAATTACTTACTCTAAGCCTCAGGATTTCTCACCTGTAAGATCTACTTTCCTCATAAGTCTGTTCTGATAAAAGAGGTACTGCTTACTGAGCAGTGCTCAATATAGTATAGGATCAGGAAACTAAAAAAACAAACAAGTAACATCCTGAGACACAGGGAGTTAAAAAGACTTACTCAAGACAAGGATTAAGTCTCATTGTGGGCAGTTTATAAAGAACATAAAACTCCTTTTAGTTCTTCGGCAAACAATACATTTTAGAAGCTGTGTATAAATTATTTACACACATTATTTGTAATAATTATAATAAAAGCAAAAGCACTCATTTCTGACGTTTTCTCCTGGGTTTGCTTAAATCAAGAAATATAAAATATGAATTCAGTTCTCTAGCTCCTAAGTCTCACAGACATAGGCTTCTTTTGTAAGATTTCTTCCTGCTCTAGGAGTTACTAATTTCATCTGTCTGCTTTATGGTTCATCTCTAAAAGGGAGGTTGTTGCTTTTCCTTAAGGTCTTTTGCAGTCCTTTGTCTCTTTCCACCTTTTTTATCCTAATACTCTATAATATTGCCTTAAACTCCAACTAGGACCTAAAACATGTAACTTTTAAAATTTTAAACTCTATTTTTTGCTGTTTTGCAGGGCATGCGGGATCTTAGTTCCCTGACCAAGGATCAAATACATGTCCTTTACATTGGGAGCACAGAATCTTAACCACTGGACTGCCAGGGCAGTCCCCACATAACCTTTTTATCTTTTTCCCACATAACCTTTTTAAAAAGGGTTAATTTGATATCATAGACTGTTTTAACTTCTGGTCAAGCATTCATTCTCTGACACTATTGCCTGGTAAACTTCAGTTAGCAGGAAGGAGCTCTAATGGCTCCTGTGTACAATCCATTCTCAGTATGTCCTCAACAGGCAACATGAAATGGAAGGGTATTTATGGTTAAGAATTTGGACTTCTTTGGATACTTATTCTGATCCAAATACTCCTAAAAATAAACCAAAAGCATTAAGTGCTTAACAGAACTGCATCTTGTCAGATTCTTGGGGGGGGGGGGCGGTAAAAAAAGAAACTACACACTGTCTTTTAGAAAAGGATTTTTTTTTTTTTTAAATTAGTAAAGAGAAGAAATCGGCTAAATTCTCAAATCCTATTTGATTTTACAAACTGACCTATAACATCATCCTTGGACTCTCCCTGTGTCCATTTCACTCACAACACACATTCTCATATATTCACCTATGTGAGGAAGGGATTTCCTGTTAATGCTATTCAGCCAAGACCAGAAGTAACCTTGTCAACCTCGTGATTACCCACTGAAGGTTAAGAGACAGACATTCCCTCTCCTCTATCCACTTAACACCTCTTCCTTCTTCACTCTGTTCCAGGAAAATGGTATTGATCACTTTTGCTCCAAGATGAGGTCAGAAGTTTCCATTATCCAATCATCCATCCATCCATCCATCCATTTATATATACATAAATATCAATGACTAAATTTTCTTTTTCCATAGCAATTGCTAGAAGTCTGGAGGAAAGATCACCTGAAGACCCAAACTCTGATACCTATGAGTGTGTGAAAAATATCATACTGACTTTAAAAATAACTCTTTAATCATATTCACATAAGAGGAATAAAGGGCAGCACCAGGCTGACTAGGGAAGGGAGCCAGGAGTTCTCCCTCTGTCCAAATGTCAGCCTGGCACCGTTCTGAGATCACACACACAAGTGGGGCTGGGTTTGGAAGTAGAATAAGGGAGAGGACTGAAGAGACAAGGTAAGAGGGTAGAGAAAGGGCTTGCAGTAGTCTCAGTCGGTGGACTCCAACACAGATTCACTCAGCGCAAGGTCCCAGTAGTGCTCAGCCCCATGCTTTTTGAAATGCTCCCGAGCCATGTTCTCTGTAGGGCACTGTTTGAACTTCATCTCCCCAAAGCTCCGGTCTTTGGCTGTACCCTGGGAAAGAGACAAAATGTGTAATAGAAACACTGCAATTTCTAATTTAAATCAGATATAATAGTCCTTTATAAAACCTGGTAACACTGTGTAGCAATGTGTCTAGCTGAAAGTGATTTTATGGTAAAAACAATTCTAACTTCTACCCCCCTGGGTATCTGCTGAATTCTCCTGACTTTCTATGGGTTTGTTTTTTTTTGACTGAAAGCAGGATTTCTGTGCTCTGGTGCCTGGATGGAAGAGTACGTCAGGAAGGACTATGGAAGATGAGATGGGATGAATTTGTTTCCAGCCAGGCCTCTAGGACCTTTAAGGAGAAAGGTGTTAGAGGCTAAAAGGACTCTTTTCACAAGACTTAGTGAGATCTTCATATGAGCAGGAGGCTTTGGGGCCCAATGACCAAGAACAATACAGGGGTGAGGGAGAGAGAGGAATGGGCGTGAGTGGGGCTACGTGCAGACAACTACAACAGAAAGATACAGTACTCGGTGGAATCGTGTTCTCACCGAAGTCTGCAATATAAGTCACAAATGCAACCTCAAGAGGCTTTTCAGGGACCAGATTCCAAAAAGGAGGCAAGAGCAGAACTTGGCTTGTTTCTGAATCTGAGAGATAATTCCTGAGGACTCTCAGAGATAAATGAAGAGAATTTTAAAGAGATGATGGGGCTAGAATATTAAATATGCAAGTGGGGACTTATGAGACATACAAACAGTTATTATGGTTATTATCACCTAATTAGTATGCATAAATTGGGAGGAATCTGGGATAAGACAGAAGGACACATGAAAAACAATCAGTAGCAATTACCTACAGAGAGGTCTTAAGGAATCAGGGAGCTGGAAGGTACTATTTCAGTAAGGTTCTGTGTGGTTAGAATGTATTCTAATGAGCATTCTTTTGAATTAAAATATTATTTTTTTGGCCACACTTCGGGGCATGCAGGATCTTAGTTCCCTAAGCAGGGATTGAACCCATGACCCCTGCAGAAGTCTGGAGTCTTAACCACTGGACCATCAGGGAATTCCCAAAGTACTACTTTTATAATAAATGAATATGAGCACATTTAAAACTAGAAGATACTCATGTATTCAACCTAAAAGAATAAAATGAAAAAATTAAATCAACATAAAGGTAGAAAATACTTACAATGTATAAAATGTATTTTGAAGTGGTAATATAAAGGATTACTGCAGTATATCAAGTTAAGAATACAGTTACTGAGGAAAGAAACCTTTAATGCTTCCTGGAGAAATAGGATAATATTTTACACTCCACAAAGGGTGAATGATCCCTTAGTTCACAACCTGGCCTGAACAAGCATATTCACTCATTTATTCATTCTTCAGAACTCATAGTGGTTCACTAAGAAAATTTTAGGGATGAAAGAATTGTACAACCATAAAAATGTTCCACTTAAACAGTGATTTAGTCACATTTTATGAAGCATCATTACATATAATTAGGGTTTCCACCAAAAAAAAAAAAAAAAAAAAGCAAGGGAAAATAATATCCACATTTTATAGACAAAAGCAAAAGCAACAGTATTTTATATTAAATGTTACTTAATTGCCCAGCTGCACTGCTAGTGATACTGCCAACTTAGTCAACTTTATATTCTTTTTTTTGGCCATGCCATGCATGATCTTAGTTATCCAGCCAGGGATCAAACCCATGCCTCCTGCATTGGGAGTACAGAATCTTAACACTGGACCACCAGGGAAGTCTGCAACTTTATACTCTTAAGTCTAGTACTTCTCTCACTATATCCAAAGAAAAATCCTACAATTCATTTCCCTCTTTCCAAGTATCATGTCCATGACTGTGAAATAAATAGAGAATTTGTATTCCTGCCACCAGTTTTCCCCAGATGGCATAAACTATACACACATCAGTTTAACTAAAATATAACCAGGAAGGATTTGCTGCCAAATACTTAACAATGAATTCAAAAAAGAAGCACAAATTACTTAAGGGATTAGTTATTATTTATAAACAGTCAGGAATTAGCTAAAGTTTTGCCTCACTGTTTAACAGAGGATCACCTACCTCCCAGACTAGTACACATTTGTTGGTTTTCTTCACAGCTTCCTCATCAGATTCCTCATCATCTGGAAAAGACAATATAGCTAAATCTTGCTCTAGACTTACACTAGACACCAAGATTTAGGTTCCAAACAAACAGTATTCAAGCCTAGCCAAATTTGTTTTAAATATTACCACTTTTTCTCATGTGTTGGGATCAAATATCTTCTGTTACTCTTTATTTCCCCCCAATTAGACTGAATCTCCTATCAGGCAGGGACATTAATTAATTCAACAAACATGGATTGAGTTCAACTCTGTGTCAAGAGCTGTGCCAGGTACTGGGAATAAGGAGATGAACAATAAAAACTTGTCCTAAGCACTTCAGATGCCAAAACAATAAGGTCCATTCTCAAGGAGTTTTTAGTCTAATGAAGAAGGGCAGATATACGGAATGAAAATATCTTAGAACACTTGCAAAGCAAAATACAGGTCAATTATCGTAAAAAGTGTACTTTAAGTACAAAAATACAATAAGGAAGAACATAAAGTAAAAGAAGGCCAAAATTATGAAAAATACGGTTCTCTGCACATGGTAAATACTAACCCAGGTCTTCAAAGAAGGGAAGAATAAATATTGATGGAAGAATGATGGCTAGGAGGATGTCAAATAAATAAATACAAGATAAACCTGGGCAAAAGAAAAGTATATTTTTCTGAATGAAGCAGAGATTTTTTTGGTCTAAAAATCTTTTTTTGCCTTCAGTCCTTTAAAAAGCTTCTTATCAAAAAACCATGCACTATAGACAATGCACATATGAGCGTGCAGCTTGCTGAAAATTCACAAACTAAATATACTCATGTAGCCTATATCCCATTTCTGGGCTAACAGAGAAACCAACAAGTAGAAAGGCCTAAAGGACAGGCAGGAGAATAACTAATATTCATACAGTAAATACCTTATGAATGTCTAGCATATTTAAAGTCCAAAAGGGTTTTTCTAAAATTCTTGAACATTATCTAGTATTTGCAAGAGTGTTAGAGAGAGGGAATAGATGAATGGACTGATTACCATCCCACCCACCTCCCATTTAATCCCCTCTAACCCCCATTCACCATCTCCCTTTGTGTTAGATGTCTGTTCATCCCACTTTATCCGATGCAGCATGAGACGCTTAAATTTCTTCTGGGCCTTGGGGCCTAGAAACAAAGAAGAATAATTTTGCCAGAGTTGTGGAAGACAATGGGGTAGAAGGAACCTCTGAGCTCACTCAACGCTCAGACATTAATATGGTAGTTGAAGCAATCCCAGGAGCCACATCTTAGGTCTTCTACTTCAATAAATAAAGAAACAGAGGCCCAAGATATTTAATACAGGTTTGACTCTAAAATACCATCTTTTTTCTCATTTCTCCCCACCATGCTAATCACTTCAAGGCCTAGGGTTGCCTCAAGTTTTCAGACTCACCCCCTTCCACTACTACCACGTTGACATCCTTGTGCAGTACCACCACCCCTGTCAGGTACAGCTGCCCAGCATTGGCCTCAATCTTGAACTTCTTGGCTGGGTTGCTCAAATTTCGAACTCTGGAGAAGGGAAAGTTTAGTTATGGGTTTCATTTTAGCATCAGTAGCTGACTGAATGGAATGGCAAATAAAGATGGATCCAAAATAGTTTTCTTTCTAAAAACAAAGGCATTTGGAGTAGGCAAATATACTAAAGCTTAAAAGGTAGAATTGATGAATCTAGAAGTGTTTCTACTGTCTTAAACTTCTTCAAAGTCTAGCACAGTACACTTTACAACACGTAGCAGGTAATCAGAATTTACTTTAAGAACGAAAGAGAGCTACTAATAACCATCATCCAAAAAAATTTATATGCTTGGTTATTCTTGACAATATAAAGATCAACAAATTCTTTGCCCTCTAGATGCTTATAATATAAAGGAGTCACAATGCTATGCACGAAAATTTCTATAAGAATACATGAAAAACTGTTAGTGACAATTACCCATAGTGAGTGGTCCTGAGGATCAGAGACTAGGAAGGGGACTTTTTCAGTAAGTGTCCTTCTGTATTGCTAGAATGTTTTTATCTTAGTAAGCAGTCACTACTTTTATAATAATGTACCATTTCTATAATCAAGAACTAGTTACTAAACATGAGCACATCTAAATAAGAGACATATATATACTTGACATAAAAGAGTAAAATGAAAACATTAAATCAACACAAACGGTAGAAAATAATTACAACACATAAAGTCCATTTTGGAGTGGAAATAAAAAGATTACTGCAATACATAAGGATAAGAATACAGTTAACTGAGGAAAAAAACTTTTAGTGTTTCCTAGAAAAACAGTATTTTATGCTTCATAAAGAATGAATGAGCCTTAGTTCACATCTTGACCTGAACAAGCATATTCACATTCATTCTTCAGAACTAATATTAGTTCACTAAGACCTCAGAGATAGAAGAGTAAGTTTTTAACCCTCATCGCTGTAAAAGATCTACTAGCTCTTGATGTATACCAGGATCATTAAAGAGAGCGGAGTTGATGTTAGGTATGCTTTATACCAGTGATTCTGCCTTGAGCACTTGGAAAATGTTTTGGTATTTCTAAGGGAAAGGCTGGCCCAGTCTGGACACCTACCTATATACAGATATGTGTACCCCCTGTGAAATGTCTTCTTTAAGCTTTTTAATTTTCTTGACCTTTCTCTGTTCTGCTGTAAGTTTTCGGGCAGCATTGGCCTCTTCATGCGCTCTGTCGTGACAGGAAGGACATCCACAAGTGAGAAAGGCATTGAAGATCAGAAGCAGGGCTGAGGGAAAGAGAGAGCAACGGAGAACTCTCCCCTCCCTCCAAATATGGATCCCCCAGAAGAGTTCGGGAAAGGTACTTGCCCTGGGTTTCCACCCAATCCCATGGCACTTACTTCTGTCTTTTTGCCATCTGAGCTCTGACATGGGCTTCTACCTTCGTGGGGTCTTGAACAGCTTCTGTTCCTAATACTCGCATCAAATTTGAAATTCTCACTGCAGTGAAGAGATGACAGAGATCAATCTCCTAAGTCACCACTCCAGCTAGGGTAATCTGCAATCTCTTCCTACCAATTCATACTGTTCACCTATTGCAAATCTGCTCAAAACTCACTTCCTCCAAATACTTCTACCTTGAAAGCCCATTCAATTAATTCAGCATTTGCAGGAGGTCAATTAATATCAATAATTGATATACATTTACTCACACTGCTTGAAAATTTGTGAAAGAAAACGAACTTAATTTTGTTAGCATTTTTCACTTTCACTGTAGCATTCAGTGAAAGATCCTATACATAACAGTGCTCACCCAAAATACTACTAACTGATACTGGAAACTATAGGAGTGAGGTTTATTATTAAACTGCATTTTCATTTTTTAAACATTTAAGAATTATGTACACAACAACTCTGTGCAAATACTCCAACTACTATCTCCATAAACTTCAAGACTATTATTCTTCCAGGAAGGTAAGAATGTTAAATGGTCAATATTACTTAAGAAAAAGGCTTAAATGACTTCTACAATGACTATGTTGACCTGATTTAATAAAGACAGTAGAAAATTTGGGAAAGGACAAACCAATGAATGATTCTGAGTAACAAAAAGCATTCAAACATAGAGAGATACTAAAGTTCCTCTAGAATGACAGGAAGAAAAACTTGCCACCCTTTCTTCCCTGCCTCTAAGATCTGTACCTTTGGGTTCTGGAGGAGGCATCAGGCCCAGCCTGACCTTCTCTTGTAGCTCCTTCTGCGCTTCCCTCCTCGTCTGCCGTCGAAGTTTCTTCTGTTCCTTCTTGGTCAGATATACTCCCAGAGTAACTGGTGTGTCATTGTCAACTGTGAGGCAGAAAAATCAATGTACCAAAGCAATAAGCACATTACAGGGATATGGGTGAATATCACAGTAAAAAGAACTTTACAGCAACACAGATGGACCTAAAGATTGTCATACTGAGTGAAGTTAAGTCGGACAGATAAAGACAAATATATAATGCTTATATGTGGAACCTAAAAAAAAGAGTACAAATGAACTTATCTTTTAATAAAACAAACAGTTACAGCTGTTGAAAACAAACTTAAGGCCACCAGGGGCTAAAGGGGAGAGGGATAAATTAGAGGACTGGGATTGACATATATCCATTACTATATATAAAATAACTAAGGATCTACTACATAGCACAGGGAACTCTACTCAAGGCTCTATAATGGCCTATATGAGAAAACAATCTAAAAAACAGTGGGTTTATGTATAAATGATATACTGTGCTGTACACCTGAAACTAATACAACATTGTAGATCAACTATGTCCCAATAAAAAAAATTTATTTAAAAAAGGACATTAAAAAAAAAAAAGGACATTTAGCTTGTTTTTAGGTATATTTAGGTCATGATAGTAGTATTACGGTTATGTTTTTATTAAGTATTCTTGGAACTACCCTGGTAGTACAGTAACTACCCTGGTAGTACAGTGGCTAGGACTCTGTGCTCCCAATTCAGGGGGCCTGGGTTCAATCCCTGGTCAGGAAACTAGACCTCACATGGTTCAACTAATTGTCTGCATGCCGCAACTAAGACCTGGTGCAGCCAAACAAATAAATAAATACTTAAAAAAAAAAGGAGTAAAAAGTATTCTTTTCTTTCATGAGTCATTTCTAACTTGCTTTTCTTTAAGCAACTGAACCTTTTAATAAACTAAAATGTGGCAGATATGGAAAAAAAGATTAGAGCTGCTCTGACTGCTCTGTGTGAGGATTTGGGGTAGGCAGAGGGTATCCAGAATCCCACTTGGATCCTACCTACTAAACCTCAAGGTGTCTATGGAATCCCACTTGAAAACCACTGGCCAAGATGATGAAATTTCTAATTTAAGAGTTACAGGGATTGGGAAAAATCCTCTGGGCTCCCAAGTCAGATTTACTCAATTTATTAAAACAAATAAAACTCCCTACATTCTTCTAATGATTCACACTGAAGACAACTAAATAGATTCTGATTAAATACAATTCAGTGTTTATTACCTTTTTATTTATCTCAAAGTCTCAATCTATTTTTCTGAATTTATTAGAGATCCTGATAAACAAATTTACTGAGTAAAAACTAACCTCTGTTCATCTCAAGTCTGATGAAAGTATTAGCATCTTCTGTGATCACTTGAAAAAGGAATGTCGGTTAGTGTTATCTCTACATATGAGAAAATTCTGTATTGTAGTGATTTATCCAGGGATTTCAGGTACAACTAAAACCCATCTCCTCTGACTAAGCCAACAGACTTTCACTACAAAACACATAAACAGAAAGGCTGAAGACAAGGCAGACTGAAGATGGCAGGGGTTTAGTGGTGGTGTGCTAGACTACAGTTGCGAGTCAACACTACTGCAAAAGCCCAATTTGAAATACAGATATACATCAGTGAGGCCATCTCTGGTTTAGACCTCAATGCTCTGTAACAGCTGCACTGTACAATACTGTAGCCACTAGCCACATGTACTATTTAAATTAAAATCGAAAAAAATTAAAAAATCAGTCCCTCAGCTATATTAGTGTAACTCAGTTTTCAAGTTCTCAGTAGTCATGTGTGAATAGCAGCTATAGCACAGACAGCCCAGACAGAGATTACATCCATTATCACATAAATTCCTATAGGCTAATACTTCTCTAGGGCTTTGACTGAGTAATCTCTACATTACCTGGAGGGTTGAGCTGGGCTGGATGTTCAACAAGATTTGTGATTCCAAAATAATCTTCTCTCTTGGGATTTTCCTCTGTACTAAAATTGGAGGAAGAAGGGAAAACAGGATATGTGGGTAGAGACGATTCCAAGAGAGAGGCAATCTCAGAAACACAATGAAAAAATCCACTCTCCATAGTGGATTCTCAACCTGTTTTTTCTACCCTAACACACTTAACAGATACCACATTCTGTCATTAGTAACAATAATTCTCTGGGACAGTGGTTGACAAAGGAGGCATAAGGAAAGGCTGAGACACAGTCTCCCTGAGTCATGTATCAGAATAATGGAGCAGATATGATTAAAGCTCTCTGAATGTTTCTTACATGTTTTATTTATCATTCTCTCCCTCACCAAGAATCCTTTCTCTCTTCTAGGACTGGATGTTTAATATATGTAAACATCTGTTATAAGTAGCAAAAGAAGGTAATTAAGAAAATGAATATGCTAAAAACACTAACAATGTATAACAAAGCAAGCAGAAAATATTTGTGTCCAATCCTCCTACATTGATTGACCCAAAAAACTAAAAACAACCCACAGAACATATTCTTTATAAGCATATGAGCTTGTATATGGTTATGTTTGCCTTAGATTTAAAATTTTTATGTAATGCATGAATACCATCTTTCCCATGATAACTCTAGTCTTCATAAAAGGTATTAACCAACAAACTCACAGGTCAAAGCCATTGGGGATGATGTAAGAGTCCCACCACTCAATTTCAGGGATGTCGCCTTCCTTCAATTCCTTCTTAGGAGCAATGAGGGCCAGTCTAGTTGAAGTATGAATGCCTGTTTTTCGAGCAGCCTGTGAGATCTCTGCCTGCAGCTTCTCTAGTTGAGCCTAAAGACAAGGTAAGACAAGAAGATAAATTGGAATCAAAGAAAACAGGGAAGCAGTAGAATCCCAAAACTTAAAACACTCCCTTGTTGAACTCTTTACATCTAACACAACAAATTCAGATTTTCTGAAAGCTAAGAAAAAAGAACTGTTCTGCTTTACTTTACTCATTACTTGGTTGATTTCCATATATTTGGCTCTCATTATCACCCCTCTATCCCAGTGTGTGCCTGCAGCAAATATGTAGAAATGGAATTTTATGGAAAACTTCTGAGAGGATGAAAACAAGAAGGTAAAAGTCATTGAATATATGGTCAATTAAATTATCCAGGAATGTGGATTGTCTGCAGCAAATTTTAACAGCAGGCTAGCTTTCCTCAGATGTCCTGAGGTTTCTGAACAGTTTCCCTCCACTGATTGTTGTATGTAGAGAATTTTCAAATTCAATTTCCTTTCTACCTAAGTAGAATGTAAGTAACTAAAAAAAAAAAGAATGTAAGTATCTGAGAAAACAAATCACTAAAAATCAAGTATTCCAGGAATAAACACAGTATTTTAAAAATTACTCATTGCTTTACTACTTATTTATCTAATTGCCAAAAACAGAGAGAATTAAGTTGACAGTATTTCAGGACTATATTCAGTTTCCTTTATCACCTTCCTAACTTATTCAAATTTCTAGATTTTATTCTAAGCCAGATACCTTTGTCCGTAATCGCTGGGCAATCTTTTCAAATTTGCCCTTGTCGTGGAATTTAAAAGTGCGTCTCTGGCGCTGGGAAGGGGCAATTGAGACTCGTGGATCAAAAAAGGTATTAGATTCCATGTCTTCTGATGGCTTTTCTTTTAGCTGTTGCTTGAACTGTTCTCTCTTCACAGCCCGAATATTGGCCTTCAGAGTCGGCATTCTGTGTGTCAGTTCAATCTCCTTGCCTGTTGCATCTACAGTTCGACCTTGTTCATCAAGAATCAGTGGTGTAGGTTTAGTTTGATCTTTTAACTCCACCTTCCTGAAAAATAGCCCAAAAGAGGAATAAATCCCATATAAAACAATAAGGCAGTCAAACAAACAGACAAAAAATACAAACAAATCAAAACCCACCAGAGACAATTAGGTTACAAAGTTCTAAGGAATATAAACCCATCAATGAATAATAACATCTTGACTGAATATATAAAGCTGGACAGTTGAGTATGGAGTATAATCAGATGAAATGAACTTACAAACTACAATGGCAAGAAGTTGGAATCCTATCATTCTTTACTCCTGAATTCTTGAGTCAGGGAACAGCAAACCAACTGAGGTGCTAAAAATAAAGCCTATCACCTTTACCCAGTTGCAGAGAACTCTCAGATCTGGTCTCACTCAATGTAGTTTAATGGAAATAGCTCTTGAATTAGGAACCAGGAGACCTGATCCTATTCCTAGCTCCAATACTGGAGGAATAATCTTAATTTTAGTTCTACCAATCATAAAAAGAAGATAATTAAACTCTGTAACAAGGAAACCAAGAGAATAAATTCAACTAGTATTTACTGAACATATGTAAGAAATATGAAACTAAGAAATGACTTAAGTTCCTTGGAAGAAGAGGATCAGTAACACTCAAAGGTATTTTACTGCTTCTCAAGCTTCAGAAAAAATGAGTTCCATGAAATAGATACTCACGGGGGAGCAATGCCCATAGCATGGAGATTGGCTAGGCCCACCATGTTGGCATTGCCGATGAGCCCTGGCTTCAATGCCAGCTGGGCTTGGATGCGGGCTTGTAGTTCAGCTGCTTTCCTTGCCTTCTCTATGGCATCATTCATGAAAGTGGCGGCCTGGGAGGGCTGAATAGTGTTGCCAATTGGAAGTCGCTCTGGTTGGGAGGATGAAGGAGTCTTTGGCTGTGAGACAGAGAAAAAGAAATCAGCATCAGAAAAAATTAACATAGGCAAACAGATCTCTCTCTTTTACACACACACACACACACACACACACACACACATACACAGTGGTGGTAAATTGAGGGTGGAACATGCAGTCATTTTCTGGACTCTCATTTGAGTGGGTGGCAAGAAATTCTGTGTGTTTAACAGTCTTCTTTTCAGAGAAACTTGATTACAGTACCTGAGGTGTAGGGGGGCTAATGAAGCTCAGTTGCTTTTTCCTTTCCTCAATTTGCCGTGTTGCTGCCTCCATCATCTGTTTGATCTGCTCGCAGTGGGGTAAAAAGTTGGAAAACAGTTAACACCTCTTTTTTATTTCTCCCATACAGGTTCCTAAACTCAAAGAGCCTTTAGGTCTAGAGAAACTAGTATTTTTTGAATGATCCCATCATATTCTGCCTGTACCACAGGCTAGCAAATTTAGTAAAGTTAAGGTTACACAGTTGATCACTGGAATTTTTCAACCTATCTTCCCAAGGCAGGACTGGCATGTTAAGTAGTAACACAGCTTGATGAGTAAGACTCTGGAGTCAGGGAAACCAGAGTTTCAATCTTAACTCTGCCATTTAATGCCTGTGTGACCTTGAATATGGTATTTAATTCTTAAATCTCCAAGTGTCTAAAAGGAGTAAAAATAGTACCTACCTTACAGGGAAACTGTGAACATTTAAATAATGCATGCAAAACTAACAGAATACATAAACATTATTATTATACTTAAAAAAGAAAAAAAAAACCAACACTATTGGTCCCTGAGTTCCTAGTTTGGGTAACCAGAGTCCACTTGCTTCCTGGTGGAGACTTGGGACCCAGGAGACTTGCTGCCTAGTCTCCATAAATCCCTTCCTCTGTCCTAAGGAAATTCAGAAAAATAAGCTTTGAGAACATGATCAAGTAACTCTTCTTGAATTTTCCAAAAGAGTCTGCTGTCAAGGTGCTTCAAAGTTATTTTTTTAAATTTATTTTTAACAATTTCTTAAATAGTGACATATTTATATAGATTAAATTGCAAAAAGTATACTCTGAAAATATTTACTATTTATATGGTATCAGAATTTTTAAACAATGCCTATTTTAAATACACAGATAATTTCTATTAAAAAAAATAGAAGTCAATCCGAAATTATTTAAGTGGATTAAGCTTTCTGCATTATATTATTTGGAAATTCTTCTCTGTCATCATGCTGAGTTCTAATTATTTCAATAATTTTCTTAATGACACAGTGAGGTAGATATCTGTGCAAATGATGTATGTAACACACCTTCCTTGCCACATAATAGGTGCTCAAAATGCTATTTCAATAGCTTTCAACCGGGCTGTTGTTGTCATTCAGTCACTAAGTCACGTCCGACTCTGCAATCCCATGGACTATAGCCCGACTCTGCAATCCCATGGACTATAGCCTGCCAGGCTTCCCTGTCCATGAGATTATTCTGGCACAAATACTGGAGTGGGTTGCCATTTCCTTCTCCATTCAACTGGAATCTCTTCTGATTAAACCAAGAAATGGTGAAACATAAAGCAGAAAATAAAATTTCCCCAATGCTAACATTTAGTTTAAATTAAGGACACAATAAATCCATCTCTTTCTTCTTCAGCTCTCAAAACCACTGCTTCCAGTTCTTAACTACTAACCTGGAGCTTAGTCAGCATGCCAGGACTCTCTGAGGGAGGCCCAGGGATCACTTCTGGCTCCTCTTCTACCTCCTCAAAACGGGGTATCCGTCGCTTCTTTACTCCTGATGATTCCTTGGAGATCTCAGAGTCATCACCAAACACTTCCTAAGGGAACCCAAGGTGAAAGAAGAGTTGTATCCTTGCCCATGGGAAAAGGGAAGAACAATCCTAATCCTTATTAGTATTATCTGGCTTTTCCCAGAGTCTTCTATACCCTCCACCAAATGGACCATCTCACCCATCTCAACTTCATTATTTTCCTATTCCAGTCAAACAAATTTCATCCCCATATTCTTATAAACGTTCCCATCCCAAGGTCTTTGCAAATCTTACTGCCCACATATGTAATTATCTCCCTCAATTTTTCCCTCAATCCAAACCTTGCCTAAAACTCACCTCCTCCAGGAAGTTTTCCTCATTAACAATCTCATCCCACTTTGATCAAACTGTTGTTTTACATCCTTTTAGCACTTAAGAACTTGGTTCATACTAGGTAAAATTACATTGTTGATATTTGCTTGCCAAGTGTTAAGTTTTTCAATGTCACTATGTACTTTCTCCCAACTAGCATCTAAGCTCTTCCAGGATAGGGGTTTTCTCTCTTCTTCAATATTCCCCAATAACACTCTGTTCTCATCTAACAGTGGGAACTCAAATATGTTGACTAAATTGCAGGATGAACTTAACAGGACCAAGAGTGGCCAAGTGGAAGGGACAATGGGAAAAAGCAAATGTACACACCGGTGGTAGGCTTTGGGTGACATCCCCTCTTCACTAGGAGGGCTCGTGTTTTGCAAGGACATATCCTCGGCCAGGGGCGAGCGCTTCCTGGAACTCCTACAGTTCAAGAAAAAGGACTCTCCCATAATATATTGTGTGGGATGGGGACTGAATGGACCAAAATGGGACCCAACTCCCAAGGCTATCTAGATTTCCTTCAAGAAACCATTTGTATTAACCCCACCCAATGTAGTCACTTTATTTGTAGCAGGCCCTCAGCACTTATACAGTAGCATGTCCTACCAAAAACATAATCTTCACTCTACAGATCTGTGAATTTCTCCTTAAGTGTAACAAAATTCAACTAAGTCTGAAACTTTATAGTCAACCTTAAAATTTCCATGAAAACTACTACTTGGATTTTATAATTTTTGTGACTGTATTTTGTTTTGCCCTCCCATCCCCAAACACTTGAACTGCAAATTCCTTTAAGGCAAGGACTATCTTTCATTCCTCTGATCACCCTGCAAACCCTAAACACAAACAGCACACAAATTTCTATTTCTCTTGGTTCCACAGCCTAGTCAGGGACCAAACAGACATTGCTTATTCACTCTTGCGCCTCAGGAAAAGCAAAAGGACAGCCAAGGAATCAAAGGCACTTTAGAAGGTTTGATGGAAGTCACAGAAAAGATTTTAATAGACAGACAGAGAAAAGAGATAGAACAGCTACTTGACACCGTTAATACTGAAAGAGACCATGACCAATCAGCAGCTACCGGATAAACAGTGAAGAAAGTAAGGGAATAAAGATGGTCCCTTTAAGTATTCCACTTATGGGGACAGGTGACTGGCAATATGCTATACAGCAGAGTAGGCCCTCAAGACATACGGTAAAAAGTGAGTTCTTAGGTATCCCATCTACAAGTCATTGCAGAGAAATATCTGAAAAGCAGGAACAATGAGGTCTATAGCTCAAGGAGCAGTGAAGTCACATTCTGAAGCAATCTATTAGGCCTCAAGTAAATCAAAGCATAAAATCTTAAAGTAATGAATTTATTTATTTTTTTAAAATGGAGATTTAGGGAAACATAAGAACCAAAACTCCTAACTGTATATGAAAAAGAACAAAGCAACCAACTGTTTTCTTGGAACATTTTAACCCATGAACTTAGGCATTTCATCACCATAAGATGGTGATAATACAAGTTCACCCCCTCTACTTCTATGTCTAAGTACCTCTCTTAAACATCAGGTATTCTAATAGTGGATATTAAAGTGTGAGCCAGGTAAGCTCAGCAACTTTGTTACCATTCAAAACACTCATCAGATAGTTAACTGTAACCTACCTTTAGCTCTCGTTTCCTGCTCCGGTCACTGCTGGACTTGGAATGCCTAGAGCTTCGGCCTTCCTCCACAGCTTCAAACAGTTTGTCCACAAATCGGAGAGTAGAATCATCAAGAAAAGGTTTCAGATGGTCTGACAGGAAAAAAAAGAGGTGGCAAGGTTGAGAAGGTAGGAGTATTTCGTCCAGATACCAACACTGGAATTTTATGCCTAGGAGGGAGGGAAATGCTTTCTTAAGTTTTTTGTAGGATTCTCATAAATAATCTTACATGAATGATTTTGCCCCATGAGATAAAAAAATACAGTTTTAATTTTTTGGAGTAGGAAGTAGCAGAGCCAGAGCAACCTGTTTAGGTTGAGCATCAAAGTTTAGGATGAATAACCACTATAACTTTTCCTAAACTGCAAGCTGGAGGAGACTACCATTAACAAAATCTACTTCCTTCAATTTTTTTTAATGTATTTTATAGAGACTTCTATATGTGTAGATGTTGACCTGAATATACCCATCTGACTTTAGCATATTTCCTAAGTAAATATAATTTAGGTAACTCAGTACAGCGGTCAAAGAAATCAGTCTGAGTTTCAAAACATGTCACAAATAGCATTTTTTAAAAAATTCAATTATTTAGGCTATTTCCGTTATAATGGAGAGTGAAAAAGCCACCTTAAAACTAAATATTAAAAAAAAACTAAGAGAATGGCATCCAGCCACATCATTTCACAGCAAATAGAAGGGGAAAAGGTAGAACGCAGTGACAGATTTCCTCTTCCTGGGCTCTAAAATTACTGCAGATGGTGACTGCAGCCATGAAATTAAAAGACATTTGCTTCTTGGCAGGAAAGCTACGGCAAATCTAGACAGTGTGTTAAAAAGCAACAACATCACTTTGCTGACAAAGGTCCATATAGTCAAGGCTATGGTCTTTTCAGGAGTCATGTACGGTTGTTGAGAGCTGGACCATAAAGGCAGAAAGCTGAAGAATTGGTGCTGGGGAAGATTCTTGAGAGTCCCTTGGCCAGCAAGGAGATCAAACTAGTCAATCTTAAAGGAAATCAATCCTCAGTATTTCATTCAGGATCCATGCTAAAGCCGAAGCTCCAATACCCTGGCCACCTGATGCGAACAGTCGACTCACTGGAAAAGACCCTGATGCTGGGAAAGATTGAAGGCAGAAGGAGAAGAAGCCAGCAGAGGATGAGATGGTTGGATGGCATCAGCAATGCAATGGACATGAACTTGGGTAAACTCCAGGAGATGGTGAGGGACAGGGAAGCCTGGAGTGCTGTAGTCCATGGGGTTACAAAGAGTCGGACACAACTTGGTGACCAAACAACAACAATTATAATGAAAGAGAAAATAAAATGTGGCCTGACCTTTTTTCAGATGCTTCTAACACAGAGAATTTAGGGGAAGTTCAAAGTAGCATTTGTGGTCATCCAACATGTTAAGCCAAAAGATTCAGAAAGATTCATACATACCAGCTGCTTTCTTCTTGTCCATGCCCTTCCCCACACAGTTCAGTGCTGCTGTGACCACTGTGGGCTCTGAGAAACCCAGCACCCTCTTCACTGTCTTCTCTATCCATGGTTTCAGTTCATCTAGCTCCCTCTTAGATAGCGCCATTCTTCGGGAAAAGGAGGATAGCTCAAAACAGGATTCAATACTGCACCTAAAAAGAAAGTAAAGTTAGAGGACAGGAAAAGACTAAAATGACCCCAGGCAATGATTAGTATATCAGGAATGCTTTCCCCACTGCTATTCTCAATCTTGGGCAAGTTCTTCTAACTTCATTTCAAGCCAAATACTTTCCACATATACTTCAAAACAGAAAGAACTACATTCTGTTTGATTTTTACCCCTAACTCAGTAATATCATCAGCTAAACAATGAAATCTGTGGAATAAACAAACCAACCCTTGGGAAGAACCTAGTCTGAGAAATGAGTTCTAGCTTCTTTTCTGATTATCATATTCAACAAGGACTGTCAAACATATAACATGAAAACAAGACTGAAAAAGCCCACTCACAGGCCAACTTTTCTATTCTTCCTACTTCCAGGCAGGCATTCCTTAACCCAGGGCTTCTTTTAAGGAACATAAATAAGAGATGGCTTATCAGGGTTACATCTTATATTAAAGCTCCTAATCCTCAAGACTATTCTGTCACATTTCTTTGTATTCATTGTCATCCCAGTGGGAATTCTGTACCCAGATCATTTTCTCTTTTGTTCTACAGGGTCTCTGTCAGAAGTAATCCCTCAGTTCAGAAAAGGTTACCCTTTTCATATGTATATGAAAGGCTGATTCATTCTGCTGTACAGTAGAAACTAACACAGCATTACAAAGCAACTATACTCCAATAAAAATTAATAAAAAAAAATTACCCTCATTTTGGATGTACTTTTTTCACCTTTACCTTTATTCTTCTACTTTTTAGCTTAATAGAGAAACCATCATACAAGACTCTACAACAATCTGTTATTTAATGCAAATCAGTACAATTCTTAAACTATTCATGCTTACAGTCTTATCTCCTACTGAAATCTCAAAACTCTACATGAGCAGAAAGAAAATTTTATTTCCATAATTTCCTCCATACTGTCTAAAAGACAATAAATTAGACTGACCTCAATTCCAAGTTAACCTCCTCCCAGAAGTGCCACACATCAGGGTTCGATCTGGGTGTCAATTTTTCAAGATGTTTTAAGACATCTTTTCCCTAAAAGGTACAGCTTGATTAACTTCTACATTGTTGGCAAGTTTATCCTCTAGAAGACCTATTGCTAAATAATGTACATAATTTTGGTATAACCATATGAAACTCGTAGCTTAAAGTCATGAAACTAGAGGTGAAGTATTTTGTGCCTCAGTGACATGTAATATGAATAAATCTGCAGTGGCTTTATTTACCCATCACGAGATAGCAGTATAGCCTATCAATCTCAACATGTTAACAAGAAGCATATTCAGACACCATAGAGTGAAGAGCTCACACACACCTCTACCATTTACTAGCCTTCTGACAAGTAATTCCTCTGAGCCTCAGTTCACTCATCCTACAAAGTGAGGACAACTGTCATTCTTATAAGGCACTTAATTCATTCAATAAATATTTACTGCATACCTAGTAAGTTTCAGGCAGCCTACTGAGTGCTGAGAATACACACAATGGTGAACAAGACAGACAAGAATTCTTGCCTTAACAGAATTTATATTCCACTGGAACTGAATCATAGGCTAGAAAGAGTAAACAATTTGAAAATCCAGAGCTACAAATGGGGCATCACTCTATTAGATGAAATGTGTGCCCAAGCACTATACTAACAAATGTACACAACTTCAACCCATTCCTCCGTAAGATAACGTGCAAACTAAACAGCCAATGGGCAAAGTAAAAGTTCGAAACAGTAACGAGCTTTGTCACTAATCAATTGTTCAACAGTAGCTGCGTGGGGTAGGGGTGGGGTGTGGTTCTGGTGTGGAAGGAGAGGAAAGCAGAATGATCTCTGAATGAGCAGGGAACAGAATTTAATCTTCTGAAGGATTCTCTTTCTCTGTGTTCTTCTTTGCTACAAGTCGAATTTCATCCTTGAAACTCCCATTCGTTTCTTTTTTGCTCATCCCGTCTCTCTGACCAGCCCCCACTCACCTGTTCTACCCCAACTCCTCATCTCAGTGCGAGTCCCCTCAGCTCGTCCCTTTCCCGCCCCCGCCCTTCCCCTCAACAACCTCATTCCAACCCGTTCTCCCACAGAACCTTGTTCTTTTCTCAGCTTCCTTTCCGCTGAACCTTCCCGCCTCTGTTCTTCTCTGGAACTGAACCGTACCCCAAACACTAGGACTACAGGATACCCCCTCCGGGCCCCGGGCCACTACTCACCTCACAAACTTCAGCCCCTGAGACGGAGCCCGAACGTTACACCGGAACCGGAAACCCTCTGGCCGCCCTATGGCCTGCCGTCGCTACCGCCACGGCCGCCGCCACGCCGCGGTCCCACAACGCGTGACGAGAGAGGGTGGGGCCGCCGGTTCGCGCAGCCGTAGTGGCTACTTTCCGCCCAGAGAGGGAGCGCATGCGTAGCGGAGCCCTAAAGTTTTACATTAGCTAGTTCCTCGCCTCATCGGTTTCCCCAGGTAAAGGTGTGCAACGTTAGTGTTACCTGAGCATAAATTGGGCTGCCTGTAGTATTCCTAGTGTGGCGAATAAGTGCACTACGGTTATGCTAGAACTAAAAGCAGGGCTTCTGCGTTTGGGCTAAACCTGGACTTTCTAGTACAAAGTAAAGCCTCCAAGAGTCGTGATCCCTAGCTTTAAGGATCCCTAGCATCCCCTCCTTAGCTTTTGTCCCTAACTTAACAGTGATGCCAGAGATCATGGTAGCCCCTCACCCCTTGTAGTGTTGTTGTTGTTTTTTTTCCCCTTCCATTCTTTCACGGAACAAATAATGACTATTACTATACGTCATGCATCCACTGAGATTCAGTATTACTTAATTATTTAAGCAACAGCACGAGTTTTAAAGCCGTCTGTATTTATATTCCAGCTCTCCCACTCATTATCTGTGACATTAGGCAAGTTCCTTAAGCTGTTTCCTCACCTGTAAAAAAAAAAATCCACCTCATAGGGTTGCTGTGAAGACCACAAGAGTGGTCAGAGAGTTCAGTAAAGATTCTCAGAGAGTTCAGTAGAGCTGCTTGGTATATAACAATATATGCAGTTGGTTACATACATGTAGAGGTCCTAAATTTACATGACAAAGTCTAAACTCCTGATTCTAACCACCATTGTCCTCCCCAAACCAGCTCCCAACAGTCTCCCTCATTTCAGTTAATGGCCACCATATTTTTACAGTTGATGAAAAATTGAAATTATAATGGAGTAATCATAGTTCAAAAAAGATCTTCACGACCCAGATAATCACGATGCTGTGATCACTCACCTAGAGCCAGACATCCTGGAATGTGAAGTCAAGTGGGCCTTAGGAATCATCACTATCAACAAAGTTAGTGGAGGTGATGGAATTCCAGTTGAGCTATTTCAAATCCTAAAAGATGATGCTGTGAAAGTGCTGCACTCGATATGTCAGCAAATTTGGAAAACTCAGCAGTGGCCACAGGACTGGAAAAGGTCAGTTTTCATTCCCATCCCAAAGAAAGGCAAAGCCAAAGAATGTTCAAACTACCACACAATTGCACTCATCTCACACGCTAGTAAAGTAATGCTCAAAATTCTCCAAGCCAGGCTTCAGCAATCCGTGAACCGTGAACTTCCAGATGTTCAAGCTGTTCAAGGAACCAGAAATCAGATTGCCAACATCTGCTGGATCATTGAAAAAGCAAGAGAGTTGCAGAAGAACATCTATTTCTGCTTTATTGACCATGCCAAAGCCTTTGACTGTGTGGATCACAATACTGGAAAATTCTTAAAGAGATGGCCTCTTGAGAAACCTGTGTGCAGGTCAGGAAGCAACAGTTAGAACTGGAAATGGAACAACAGACTGGTCCAAATAGGAAAAGGAGTACGTCAAGGCTGTATATTGTCACCCTGCTTATTTAACTTATCTGCAGAGTACATCATGAGAAACCCTGGGCTGGATGAAGCACAAGCTGGAATCAAGATTGCTGGGAGAAATATCAATAACCTCAGATATGCAGATGATACCACTCTTATGGCACAAAGTGAAGAGGAACTAAAAGGCCTCTTGATGAAAGTGAAAGAGGAGAGTGAAAAAGTTGGCTTAAAGCTCAACATTCAGAAAACTAAGATCATGGCATCTGGTCCCATCACTTCATGGTGGATAGATGGGGAAACAGTGGAAACAGTGGCTGACTTTCTTTTGGGGGGAGGGCTCCAGAATCACTGTCAATGGTGACTGCAGCCATGAAATTAAAGGATGCTTCCTCCTTGGAAGGAAAGTTATGACCAACCTAGACAGCATATTAAAAAGCAGAGACATTAATTTGCCAACAAAGGTCTGTCTAGCCAGGGCTATGGTTTTTCCAGTAGTCATGTATGGATGTGAGAGTTGGACTATAAAGAAAACTGAGCACAAAAGAATTGATGCTTTTGAACTGTGGTGTTGAAGAAGACTCTTGAGAGTCCCTTGGACTGCAAGGAGATCCAACCAGTCCATCCTAAAGGAGATCAGTCCTGGGTGTTCATCGGAAGGACTGATGTTGAAGCTGAAACTCCAATACTTTGGCCACCTGATGCAAAGAGCAGACTCATTTGAAAAGACCCTGATGCTGGGAAAGATTGAGGACAGGAGGAGAAGGGGATGACAGAGGATGAGATGGTTGGATAGCATCACCGACTCAAAGGACATGAGTTTGAGTAAACTCCAGGAGTTGGTCATGGACAGGGAGGCCTGTTGTGCTGTGGTTCATGGGGTTGCAAAGAGTCAGACATGACTGAGTGACTGAACTGAACTGAATCATAGTTCAGATATACAAAAATGCAGCTGGGAGGCCATTAAGGATCTGGTTTCAGACACATCTATGCCTCACTGAGAACTTGAACTTTCTTTGAACTATACCAGACCTAAGAATACCACTAGTCATATTCAGAATGACACATGCCAGCTGCAACTTATGGTCTCAGGGTCTTCCCTTGTAACCATGTGA